CTGCAGCACGTAGATTAAAGGAAAAGCTNTAGACTAGAAGAAAAGCTTCACAGCTTATATCCATTATAAAAAGGAAAAATGGGGGTCTTAGGTCCACAAGCTAGGAAACGACATGGAAGATCAGCTGCCAGATTCTCAAAATAGCTCAGTCCATAAAAATAGCTCAGTAGCTCAAGACAAGTTCTCCTGTCCCTAAAGCAAACGCAGTAGCTCAGAATGCGCTTCCCGGTCCAAAAGAACTAAAAGCAAGACTTGCAGCACGTAGACTAGAAGAAAAGCTTCACAGCTTATATCCATTACAAAAAGGAAAAATGGGGGTCTTTGGTCCACAAGCTAGGAAACGACATGGAAGATCAGCTGCCAGATTCTCAAAGCCACAAATTGTGTATAAGAAGTGGCAAACATGGAAAGGGAAAATCAAGGTTTCTAGAACATCAAAGATTACAAAAAAAAAAACCAATCAAAGCAAAATTCCTAGTCGTCTTTGCAGTTCGGCTATCCTTTCTTTCAAACACAGGTTCTTCTCCTTCAGCTCATCCCTTTCCTTCTTAGTCGCTGACAGTAGATCCATCAATTTTTGCCCAGTAGAGAAAAACAGAACTTCCCCTAGGAAAGATCTGGATGAAGGAAAGGATAAACCATCCCTCTTGCGTTTCTTGATATGAGTCTCAGCATCCTCGCTCTCATCAGACCCGGTAGAAGAGATATCAGATTCAGGAAAAAAGGGAATGTTTCGTTCAGCTACAGCGGCGCTAAACAAGAACAGATTATCTGGCATCATGAGATCAGGAAAAGACATGGGCTCAACTTGAGTCATTTGTTCCACCCTCATCAATTCAAGCAGGTTCAGGTCAGGAGCACCAAAAAAAAAAAATTCTCATGCAAACTTCGAAGTCGTTGATTGGAAAACCATTCTGCTACATCTTAAGCTCAGCCCTTGCCCAGGCCAGCTTGACCAAGAGCTGGGGGGCAACTGATGATACTTAGAGCAATTCCCAAGTATGAGCTCGGGAGCGAAGGTCAGACGCACAGAACTCATAAAACCAGAGTAAAGCCCAGCCCAATCGAAGCAGCAGCGGAAGTAATAAAGAGATAGCTATTTGTCAACAGAAACCCTAGAGGCAGCAAAGAGTCATAATCGAAGCATAAAACTCTCATCCAAGAAAGATTTCCTCCTAAGATCAAAGAGGATTCCTCGGATAAATGGCGAAGATCTTGGGGCGAATCCCGCAAAATTAGGAAAAACCCTATAAATATTATGTAACGCCCCCAACAGGGGGGCAAAACCCTAGTATCACATCTTATATTCTGTAAACCTTTTGGTATAGTAAAGAGTGAAGGAAGGAGAAAGAATCTCCATTGAAAAGTGGATTAGTCGAACTCCCGAGCTGGTGAACCACTATATTTCTACTGTGTTAATTCCCCAACTCCCCAACAATTCTCAGTATCATTCCCTCGAGTCTAGTAGCTCAGATCCCAATAATTCCAATATTGTTTCTTTCATTTACTTGTCATCATAAAATTGCATCACGTTGAAATACACCGTTAAACTTGATTCTTCAAACGTAAAGAAACAAATTTGATTCTCTATTTTAGTTAGTCTAAATAAATAGTCTATTGGAGATGGATTTTGAGGGGTTAACTCTCCCAAATAATATTTGAGTAAGAATAGAGAACCTATTGAAGATTTTCTAAGTTCTGCACTTTTTTAACAGCTGTTGATGCAAAATTTGAGGAAGCTTCCACACCGGATTGATGGACCTTGATCACCTAAAAAGAAAGTCGAAGATCAGTTGATCTCCAGTGGTCCACCATTGGATGCTTAAGTTAGAAAAGATTCAAAGAAAAACTGATAATTAAATAGTTGAATTCAATGTGCCTCTTTAGCCAACCTACTACCCCTTTTTATAGAGATTTGACGTTAGTTCCCACCTGAAGAGTCAGAGTTTTGGGTTTTTTTTTTTTTTTCTGCCTCTTGATTTGAATTTATTTATTAGATTTGGATGAACTTTTCCAAGATATTCGAAGATCTGACCATATCCAAATCTGAATGACTTCTAACGGGCAGCATTGGACTACAGTGCTGAGCTGTTTGGAATAACTGGCATAGTTGTCAGCCGAGTTGGCGACCGAGCTACTCTCTATTGGCCAAATGAGCAAAGAGGATAGTATGACCTTAGATTAACAAGCTAAGCTAAATTTCCCTTCACCAATTAGCCTAAATGAGTTTGAGTCCTAATAGAAATGAACTCTAGTCTCATTTATCAATTTTAAAGGATAATGTTTGTTATCTTAATTAAATGGGACTTTCTCTCAAACTTTTATGATTTGTGATTATCATCAATCTTCTGTCATTATCATAATCCACAAATATAATCATGATGGATATAATTTTCTTCGACAGTTGCCTCCTATTTCATATAATTTTTGGATTCACAGTCAAGGGGGTTGACGAACGCAAGACTCAAATACACAATCCTTTCAAAAAAGGGGTCAACGAGCTTGGGCTCGGATAAACAATCTTCTAAAAAGGAGGTTGATGAGCGCAAAAATCGGATACATAGTCATGGACATTAATAAAGAAAAAGCAAGACAAATATGTGCACATTAGCTTATTTCAAAACATGCCCAACATAACAAGGTTCATGAGAATACGAATTTAGTACAATGATGGTTGGAGTATTATTAGTTTATAATTCTTGGGATTTTTTTTTTTTTTTTTGTCCGGCATGGCGCTGATCATTTGGGTCCCCCCCCCCCAAAAAAAAAAAATATGTTGGTCCTGTGATCAACAATTTTAGATCAAAGTGTCGAAGCCATTGTTTTGTGTTAACGAGGGTGACAGATATGTTGTGTTCTAATAGACGATGTCAAACTATTGATGTAAAATTTAAAGTGATCTTCCCTAAGCTTGCTTAACCTTGATTATGTAAAAAAAGTTAGAGATTGGAGGGAGAGCTCTGAGATTGACCGTTCGATGCCTAATTCAAGAAAAAATTCAAAGGTATTAAATGGGTTTTAGAAGCTAGGAGTGGCATACTTNGGAGGGAGAGCTCTGAGATTGACCGTTCGATGCCTAATTCAAGAAAAAATTCAAAGGTATTAAATGGGTTTTAGAAGCTAGGAGTGGCATACTTAAGGTATACATTGAAGCTCTATTTATAGGAATGTGAGTGTTTGACTTAAACTAGAATTGCAATTATCCTAACAATATATTATTAGCTATATCGCATTTCTTAGGGTTTATACTTATCTCTTGGATTGGACTTTATCCCATATAGGGTTTTCACTGTCCCAATTCTATTCAAATTAGGACTCTTACAATGTGGATTGGATTGGTATTAGTAGAGTAGAGTTGATCTTTATGTTAGCACAATTTTTCCTCTAATATCCTTACCAAAGTTTNCTGTCCCAATTCTATTCAAATTAGGACTCTTACAATGTGGATTGGATTGGTATTAGTAGAGTAGAGTTGATCTTTATGTTAGCACAATTTTTCCTCTAATATCCTTACCAAAGTTTTTTCATTAAAAATTTGTTGGGCGAATTGTAGTTTGCACCCTAAAAGATTTAAAAAATTTTACTTTATACTTTTAAAGATAAAATATCTTACATTGCACTGTCAATTAATAAAAAGTGTTGCAATGTGATCCNTTTTTCATTAAAAATTTGTTGGGCGAATTGTAGTTTGCACCCTAAAAGATTTAAAAATTTTTACTTTATACCTTTAAAGATAAAATATCTTACATTGCACTGTCAATTAATAAAAAGTGTTGCAATGTGATCCTTAAGTTAATTTCTGTTATTTTTTCCTTTAAAAATTACCTAATTGACACTGACGGAAAAAATAACAAAATCTAACAAAAAAATCACATTATAATATTTTTGATACATCGAGAGTACAGTATAAAAAATTTAATTTTTGAAAGTATAAAATAATTTTTTTAAATCTTTCTGGTCACAAAATGCAATTCTCCCAAAGTTGTAATGTCAAATCAACGTAGACTACTAGGTTCAATTGGAGGGTGCTACATTTAATGCTTATGATTGTTACACGTCAATTACTGCATAAAGTTTGGTGCACAGATTTTGTGCACAAACCTTTAATTCTTTTTAAAGTCAATCATNCTACATTTAATGCTTATGATTGTTACACGTCAATTACTGCATAAAGTTTGGTGCACAAACCTTTAACTCTTTTTAAAGTCAATCAANTAATGCTTATGATTGTTACACGTCAATTACTGCATAAAGTTTGGTGCACAGATTTTGTGCACAAACCTTTAATTCTTTTTAAAGTCAATCATACATCATACGTCAGTATAAATTTGAACTTGATTACTCAGTTAATTCTCAATAATCATTACCATTCAAGTGTAAATAGCACTAGTAGTAACTAAATATCCTATTGATAATTTGGGGCATTACAGTTTTTATCAGAACTCTCTCTCTCTCTCTTGCAATGGTTAGAGTGATCCCACGCTAGGATGAATGGCTCTTACAAATTGTTGATTGTAACGACCTAAATTCAACAAGTCGAGACTCCTGAGACCGAGCCAAGATTGATGAGATGACGAGTGTGTCAAGTCCATATATGTTCTAAAGCCAAACGTGCAGGCAAAGCAGTCAATATCTTGAGAGTGGGTTCAGGATATTACAGATGCCTTCAAGGTGAGGACAAAGATCTCTCCATTGGGAAATAAGAATATTCAGCTGGTTTTGAGAGTCATCCTTTGTAACGTTAAGGGAAATGAAGCAGCTGATATGCATTGCCCAGTATCCGGGAAGAGGACTATCCAGATCTCTTATCATCATTCCTCCTCAAGGATGTACAAATTCTATATTTAATCAAAATTACTGTTAAAAAAAATGCCACACGTGTGTGGGGAGAGAGAGAGAGAGAGAGCGAGAGAGAGAGAGAGGATAAACTGGTAAAACATTAAATAGAGTAGCCAGGTAACGAATTACACCAAATTAAAACCCTGTTTGATCATATAAATTTAACCAGAACTAGAGATAGCTTCTTCACAACATTCTGTTTCAAAATCTTTTACAGCATTGTTGTGAAAACTGGGAGCTTTTGGGATGAGTCCAAGCAGCTTGAACATGAGTTGATCAGCATCAAAATCATTGTTGGGAGTCGTCAACAGCTTTTCGCCAGTGAATATGGAATTTGCCCCGGCAAGAAAGCACAATGTTTGCTCGGGGATGGAGAAGCGAACTCTGCCAGCCGACAGCCTGACCATTGCTTTTGGCATCACAATCCGAGCTGTCGCAATCATCCGAATCATCTCCCATATTTCAACTGGCTGAAGAAAGCAACATGATCATGGATCTTAAGAATCCTTAAACATTAACAAGGCAAAACGAGATTAACTTTGTTGCGCCAGTAATGACATGATGCCAACAAACGGACTAAATGAATTTCATTTGTTATTTCCAGTGGAAAGAGTGTGAACCAAATAAATTTCGCAACAAAGAATAAGCAATATTACTTTATTTCTTATGTCTTTGCCACAACAATATAAGAGTTAAGACAACTTATATTCCACATCGAATGATTAGTACCACTCAAGGTTGGTTTATATACTTGAGGGGCTACTCCACTCACTGCTAATTGGTTTTGAGTTGGATGCTCCAAGGATAAGAAGATAGACAAGCAGCAATATCGTTTAGCGCATAGTACGGATTTACACTCAACCATTGGTGGAGTATGCCATACAGCTAAAAGTTGTTTATTAGTGTAGTTCATTGATTAATTGGGACAGCCAAGCAATTGAACACGACTTCAAGAAGGATTACCTATAAGGAAAAGGGAAGCTGCTTTCTATGGGGTCTAATGCTTATCTCACAATCATCAGTACCCATATTAAGACGGGGTCAACATTGGACATGATCAAAAAAGAAGGAAATAAGGGTTTCACATAAGCCTCTTCTCCTAAACAGTTCAACATAACTCAACTCAAAACAATTCAATCCAAAAACAGAATTTTTCCGAAAATTTTGAATTGATTATATGAATCCATTTATGCCGTTGTGAGTTGTGTAGGACCATAGTTCCTCTCAAGCCATAACTATCATTTCTTTCTTCCATATCTTCTGGTCTAGCCCTAAGTCTAGCTAAGAAGCACGGACACGCCGACACGAAATTTTTTTAAAATGTAGGACACAAACACGTTGGGGATATTAAATATTAAGAGTGTGTGTGTGTGTGTATCTATATAATAAATCATATAGATGTTTGAACTAATGGGAGGCATATTTTTCCCCCCAAATTTCACACACCCAACACCCCCCCCCCCCCCCCCCTTTCAAATTTCAAAAACCCAACACACACTCAATAACACAACTGCACATACATACACACACTCCAACACACACATTCCAATGCACGCAGAGTGTTATAATTCAGTGTACAGTGACTTTAGTCACGAGATATCGCTAGTGTGTGTGTGTGTATATATATATGCAAGACACTTACATTCTCACCACCCACTTGTATCCCCTTTTTCAATTCTACCTCTTTGCTCTAATAATTATCTTACCGAAGAGATAACCACCAATTAATATGTATAAATATCATGTGATAAACAAATATATTTGGATAATAATCATTCAATTCATCATATATATAATTCAATTCATCATGTCATTAATTCTAACAATGCGCATCATGATATCAAATAAAAAATATAATATCACATACATTGATACACATTCATCATAAACATCCATGATTAATCCTAATTTTTATCTATTTCAAAGAGCCTTAACTTCATAATTGCTAATATTGTATTTATATTTACGTTTATTTATCATTAGTGGTATTTTAGTCTTTCTTTTGTAGTAAGATTTTACATATAGTGTCAATTATTACTTGTTATTGTTATTATAGAATATTAGATTTCTTCTCTCTTCCTTTTTCTATAATCTAAGTTTTCATGGTATCAAATCAGGTCTCTTGCAATTGAATTATGATTGGGTAGTTGTTGATTCGTCCATCCTTAATTTTTGATTTTCTGGGTTGTTTCAACTGGTTTGCCCATGTTCTTGTTTGTTCAATTGGTTGGTTTGACCCCGATGCATTTTCTGCTCTGATTTTGCTAATTTACGGGCTTGTTTGATATGCTGAATTGTTCATATGGCTGGTTGATCAAGATGAGAATGAATATCCCATGATTATGTTGGTTCAATTGGTTTGATTGAGTTGTTGTTTCTTTTATCTTCTGTTTTGATTTGCTAGTTGTTGTTTCTCCTCTATGTCATCATTGCTAGTCTTCATCACTGAAAAGAAGTTTTAGGTTGCCTTTGTTGATGGTGTATATTAAAAGTTGCCTGAACAGAAGTAGAATTTATTTGCTGGCTCCAGAAGTTGTAATCCAGATTCTGTGAATTGGAGTCTGCTGTCAACTGGAGTCTACCATTAACAGGAGTCTAGCTGCGTACCCTGTTTAGTATTATTGCTTCTTGCATTTAAATCATTGGAGGAGCATGAACAGTGCGTGAACAGTGGAGTTGCAACTAGGGTTTTGTGGCTTGTGGCTGCTGTACGTTTTTTTTTTTTTTTTTTTGCTATTCAAAGTTTAGGAATTTAAAAGTTTCAGAAATTATAGATTCAGCACCCGAGTTTTGTAAAATTTTAAATTCGGCCCTTGAAGTTTCTAAAATGTCAGATTCAGCCCCTAAAGTTCCTGAAATTTTAGATTCAGCCTTTGAAGTTCCTGAAATTTCAAATTCAGCCCTTGAAATTTCAGATTCAACCTCTAAAAATTCTGAAATTTCAAATTCAGCCTAGATTTCAACCCCAAAACTTTCAAAAATTTCAAATTATGAAAAGTGGAAAGTTAGCAGCTATAACATATATGGACAATCAGTCCCAATCCGCCCCTTTCTTGAGGATAATTGTCGAGCAGTTGCAAAAGATTCTTAACACAAATCAGCCTAAAGCATTATTTGTTCCTTTCAGTACAGGCTTATCTTCATCAACTCCTTTAGGTATATCTTAGTCCACTTGGGTTTTTGATTCATGTGCTACACATCATACGACTAATGATCCATCATTATTTATTTTCACATCGTCTCCTCCTTTTTCTGTTAGTGTTATGGCTGCTAATGATACTCACATGTCATTACCAGGCGTTAGATCTATTACTACTTTACTTTTATCACTTTCTGATGTTTATTGTATTCCTCAACTATCTTTGAACTTGATTTTTTTTTTCCTGTTAGTGTTATGGTTGCTAATGGTACTCCAATGTCATTACCAGGCATTAGATCTATTACTACTTTTCTTTTATCTCTTTCTAATGTTTATTGTATTCCTCAACTATCTTTGAACTTGTTTATGATAGTCAACTTTGTGATCTTGGTTACACTTTTCAGTTCTCCTCTCCTAGTTGTATTATGCAGGATTCTCANATGTTTATTGTATTCCTCAACTATCTTTGAACTTGTTTATGATAGTCAACTTTGTGAACTTGGTTACACTTTTCAGTTCTCCTCTCCTAGTTGTATTATGCAGGATTCTCCTTCTAAGAAGTTAATTGGGACAGGCTATAGAGTTGGAGAATTATGTGTTGGAGAAATTGCATGTTCCAACTAGGGCTACTTCTTCTGTTGATTTGTCTTCCTTTCGTTTAAGCGCTAATTCTTCAGTGTTTTATTTATGACATTCTCGTCTTTGGCATATTTCAAGTTCTCGTTTAAGGTTTCTAGTTTCTACTAGTGCTTTGGGAAGTTTGAGTAATCATGATGTTTCTGATTGAAGTGGTTGTAAACTTGTCAAATTCACGGTTCTACCTTTTAAGAATAGTTCCACTACTTCTTCTGCTCCTTACGACCTCATGCATTCTGATGTGTGGGGTCTAGCTCCCATTAGCACCAAAGGTAAGTATCGATACTATGTTTCTTTTATAGATAATTATACCTGATATTGTTAGATTTATCATATGAAGCAACGACCTGAATTTTTCCATCTTTGCTTATTTTCGTGTCATGATTTAGTTGTTCATCTTATTAACTGGATTCCTTCTATTATTACTTTGAGTATTTCTCCTTTTGAACGGTTATATGGTAAACCTCCTGACTACTTCTCATTGCGCGTCTTTGGTTATACTTGTTTTGTTCTTCTTCCTAAAGCTTAACAAAATAAGTTATCTGCTCATTCTACTATATGTTTTTTCTTGGTATGGTGAGGGCCATAAAGAGTATCGTTGTTATGACCCTATTACAAAAAAGATTGTATGTATCTAGACCTAATTTTTCTTGAGCACATTCCTTTTTTTTTTATTCCTACCGTTTCTAGCACATTTAATAAATCAAACCTGATTTACATTGATCCTTTCCCTGATGATATTTCTAGTGAGTCTTGCATCATGACATGCTCACCTCTAACATTCATTCTTCATCTCAGTCTTCCTCTTATTGTTCACATTTATTCTCGCAAGAAAAAGACTAACTCATCTGCAAGTACAATGTCTTTACCTCTTTCGGCCAAGTCTTCATCGACTTCTAATGACATGAATCCTCCTTATTCTCGCTATTCAAAGTGTATTCATAAGTGTCCTGATCGCCTTGATTTTTCTCACACTTATTATTCCTCTAATTTTTGTTCTTTTTTATCTTCTATTCACTCTTTGTCTGAGTCTACCTCCTACAAAGAAGTTGTTTTTGATCCTATTTGGCAATAGACTATGAATGAAGAACTTTCTGCAATCTATAGAACCGCTACATGAAAACTTGTGCCTTTACCTACTGGTAAGAATGTTGTTTGTTGTCGATGGATTTATAAGATTAAAACTAACATTGATGGTTCAATTGAAAGATATAAGGCCAGATTGGTTGCCAAAGATTTTGCAAAAGAATATGGTATTAATTATGATGAGACATTAGCTCTTGTTGCAAAGATAACCACCGTTTGTACATTGATTGTCGTAGCTGTAGTTCGCCAATGGAAACTATTTCAATTGGATGTCAAAAATACTTTTATGAATTGTGATCTGGCTGAAGAGGTTATTATGGCTCTTTCCCCCAGGTCTCCATCACACTCCGAATGACGTATGCAAACTTAAAAAAGCTTTGTATGGTCTCAAACAGGCTCATTGGGTGTGGTTTATAAAGTTCTCTATTGTGATCTATGACTTGGATTTTCATTCCAATGATCATGATTTTACTCTTTCCCTTCGGTCTACTTCTGTTGGTCAGATTGTTCTTCTCTTATATATTGATGATATGAGAGATTTCGGTCTACTTCGCCATTTTTTGGGCATTGAAGTAGCTTCGTCGTCTAAGGGTTATCTTCTTTCTCAGTTAAAGTATGTAGCTAATGTTATCGACATAGCTCGATTAATAGATTCTCGAACTGTTGAGACTCCTCGCGAGCTCAATGTACAAGATGGTATCCTTTTGTTGATCCCACTATGTATCGAATTCTTATTGGTAGTTTGATCTATCTTTACTATAACCCGACCTGATATTGCTTATGTTGTTCATATTGTGAGTTAGTGTATCTATTCTCCGATTACAGGTCACTGGGATATAGTTCTCCGTATTTTGCGTTATCTTCGGAGCACTTTATATAAGAGTTTGTTATTCTTTTCCACTTTTTCTTTGGAACTTCGTGCCTATTTTGATGCTGACTGAGTAGATGATGTCATGAATCGTAAATCTACAAATGATTTTCGAGTCTTTTTGGGTGATTTCCCAATTTCTTGGAGCAAGAAACAGATTGTTGTCACTCGTTCCACTGTTGAGGCTGAATATCGTGCTATGACCGCTACTATATCAGAGATAGTTTAGTGAGATGGTTACTTACTGATCTCGGAGTTTCTTTTTCTGCTCCTACTTCTATGCATTGTGATAATAAGAGTGTTATTCAAATAGCACACAATTTTGTTTTCCATGAGCAAACTAAACATATCGAGATTGACTATCATTTTGTGTGCCACCATCTTCTGCTTAGGATTATTTTTTATTGCCCTTTATTTCTTCTACCATGCAATTGACGNAACATATCGAGATTGACTATCATTTTGTGTGCCACCATCTTCTGCTTAGGATTATTTCATTGCCCTTTATTTCTTCTACCATGCAATTGACAGATATTTTCACGAAGTCTCACACTACGTTGCGTTTTCATTTTCTTCTTAACAAACTCTTAATGCTACCTACTGTCACATCATTAGTTTGAGAAAGGATGATAAAATTGTATTTATATTTACATTTATTTATCATTAAGAGTATTTTAGTCTTTCTCTTGTAGTAGAGTTTTATATATAGTATCTATTGTAACTTGTTATTGTTATTATGGAAGATTAGATCTCTTCTCTCTTCTTTTTCTGCATATGAATTCTCTTCTTTTAATCTAAGTTTTCAATGATGCAGAGGGAAGGAAAAGAAAGGGAATAACCAATCCTCACAAGGATAGATCAAGAAACACAAATCTCCGCAGAGAATTCTCAAACTAAAAATACTCAACTCTGATTAAAATAATGTGAAATACATCTTTGTTTATAAACCAAGTGTCCAACCATAAAGGAACTACTCTACTATTAAAACTCTATCAACTTATCCCTACTAATCTCAATCTAATAAATACTATCTAACTAAAAATAAGATAAAAATAACAAATAAAAATTCCAACAAATCTACCTAGTTCATTTCTTTTTGGACCAAAAACTCGTAATTTGCCAAGGCTTATGGATTCGATCATGTTGGTCCAACCATCCTATGGCTACGCCATCACATAACCTCATTTTTCATCACATTAGTTTTGTTTGTGTCCGAAACTGTTATATTCACTCGTGTCCATGTACTGATTATAACCATTTTTATATTATGACTTTGACTAATATCTCTTTAAAATTACAAAAAAACTTCATTAATTATAAAATTACTTGACAAATTTTCAAAATTTTGAAAAAAATATCAAAACATGTCCTCAAGCATGTCCCCAATGTTAAACATGTCCTAAAAAAAATTAACAATACAAAAATCAGACACTCATTTTAGCGTGTCCGTGTCCGACACTGACAATCTGACCAAAATAGAGTGCTCATGCTTCCTAGACCTCTAGCATAACGATTGATAGGATCACATCAGTCTTCCTAATTCGCATTGTTATAAGTATTTTTTGAATATGTCCAAACCATCTCAAATGATTCTATCTTAAGTAACTCATATTGGTGCTACTCCAACAATGTCACAAATACAATTAGTCCTAATTTTAATATTCCTTATTTTACCATGCATACATCTCAGCTGTACTTGCTTTTGAATGTGTGTTATTTCTTAGTAGCTTAATATTCTGTACCAGAGAAGATGACAACAGCTGTTCCTAATTATGGAATAATTGGAAACATCCATAATTGGGAACAGCTGTTGTTTCCTTAGATTGCAGTGCCAGAATTATCAGAACTCTTTTAGGTGGTTGAGTAGCAGATTTTTGAAGGTCACATATGTTTATCGTTGGAAATTTATTGCCATAGGACTGGGGGTTCTATTTGAAACTTAGTGGGATACAGGTACAATGACACGAGGTCGAACCTGAAAGCCCCTAATTGGAAAAATCTGTGATTGATAGCCATGGTAAATCCAGGGTGGAAGTATAGAAGAGCTGTTCGAGATTTATGAGTTAGTGCTCAACAGCTAAATAGAGTGCCATAATGCATGCTTTTCAGTAAGATGCTGGAACTAAACTTCTTAATCAAATCAAGAAAAGGAGAGAAGTATACTAAACATATTAAAATGATAAGAACATAAACATAATAACCTAAAATAATGTAACTCACGCTTAAGGCATATTATCATGAACACAATCAATACATTTTGATATAGTTAAATTGTTCTGGTTCAGGAAGGAGAAGTAAGACTTGAAATGATCCTGGTGTAAAGTTTAAGAAGCAAGTAATTTTTTTTTTTTTCACTTTTCTCTTTTCTTTCTAATTTTTTGTTTTCTTCTCAATGAGTACCACAAAAACAGGCATATCCTGAATGAAATTCAAACCTCACATGTGCGTGTGTGTGTTTTTTGTTTTT